TCGAATCCGATCCGTTCCCGTTGGAGCTGTCCCCATGACAAGAATACCCCCGATATTTCCCTCGATCGAACACAAAAGTTGAACGTCTGCCAACAACCTCGAACGGAAGCATAACCTCAGCCAAGGATTTAACTGCTGCAAAGGCACATCGACAAGTCACCATACGCAAAGGCGAAACAACTGAAGTAACACAAAATATACCACACCGTTTGCCACGCTCAAAGTCATAACAACGGCCAAGCATCCCGTTGATGGGTGACTTCGCGAAAGGTAATCGAAAAATGGCCCACCAGTTATCGGGCATCGGCTTCGGCTCCGAAAAATCATCTTTGGCCAAAATACTCAAAAAATCGGGTGTGAATGACGGCTTCCCATTCGAAGACTTAATCGTTGCAACATCCCATACGGGACCCGTATTCGTCACCGGAGCCTCCTCATCAAAAAAGGGCGGACCGTCATAAATTGGGTCGTCATCGTGATCGTTGTCAAAGTTAGGAAAGTCAGCACGAAACGGGCCCACCAAGTGACCATATTCGATGCCAAAATTACTACCAAAATAGCTGCCGAGATCACTCTGTACAAGCCCAACCTCACAGGCCCAAAAAGAAGAAAAAATCCCATTCATTCCTTGGTCCCAATAAATGAAATTGGGCCGCCCTTGCTTAGGCCCAAAAGTGTGAAAAAAATCCCAATATGTTTCATCGGCTTCCCCCTGCACATCGATATGGCTCTGTACATCTCCCAAATCGCAAGACCAGCCCTCTCTCCGATCTCGTCGCTGCACCTCTGCTACTCCGGCGTGGTTCGCTCGCCGGACGTGCTCAGGACCATCGAGACCTACCTCAGCTGCGCCTCGCCCGTCAAACTCCCAAATTATTGTACGACCTCCGTCTGGTCTCCTCCGTGCGCGTGGTCGAAAATTGCCTAGGGTTTGATCATCCGGCCAGGCAACTCGAGAACGGTAGTCGCCGGCGTCCTCCGCGATGCGCCGGTCATCTCGACTCCAACCCGCCTCAGTACGCCGGACATTGCTCCCCTCCTCCGCGAAAAAATGTAATTTGTTGAAAACAGGCACCTCCATGTCCCGAAGGGATGCGCCGTCGTAGCCGGCAGCCACATACCCGTCGTCCCAGTGGCGGCGCGGCAGGTTGACCCCATTGAAGGCTGAGTCCACGTGATCGGGCCTTCCTCTGCGAAATTCTTGATTACGGCTGAAACCTGAAGCAGGTATCCGGAGACCATCACCTCGGGCAGCACGATTGAGCGGAAATTGGCAGTCAAAAGCATCCTCAGGCCGCTTTCGGCTGCGAAATTGGACCGCTCCAAGGGTTTCCTCGTCGTCGCGCTCACCACCATGTCCGAATCCACCTCCAGCCCGGTTCTGCTCGCGAATTCGGTACTGACCGAGGGTGTCGGCTCCTTGCCATGGTGGTCGATCTGTAAACGGGTTAGCCGACCCTGTAGAGTCGCCATCGCCGTTGCCGTTAAGAGGTGCCCGGGATTGCTGCCGGGGCGCCCCGACATGGTTGCTTTCCCCACGACCGCCTCTGTATCCCCCGCGATAGTCACGGCCTCCATCACGGTCCGTCTGCCATTCCGTAACAATCACGTTGTTCGGCGTCAAACACACATCCTCGATCCCCGTCGAAAGATCGGCAAACAAATCCGTGAAACGCACGTCCAACTCTTGAAATCGGTAGTCAATCTGTTGAAACCAATCGTGGAAGGTGGCATCACGTTGTTTGGTTGCAGCATCTTCTCGTCCCGGCGGCATCGCGATCGTACTGACTGCTGATACCAACTGATGTAGGGAATGCGTACGAATGGGAAAATACAAGATAAAGAACACACGATATTTTATTTATTCAATCTTCAACTGATCCATTATTCCATCAAACACTAATAATAAATAGAACTCCTAACTTGATAAACAAGAAATAAATATTCTTCTAATCAAGATAGAAGATTATCCTAACCAACTCAATAGATAAGGAAGAGATAATAATAATGATAATAATAATAATAATAATAATAATAATAATAATAATAATAATAATAATAATAATAATAATAATAATAATAATAATAATAATAATAATAATAATAATTAACTATCCTCATTAAATATGAAATCGAAAAGAATTTTGGCTTCTGCTGTGTTTTAAACGATTGTTAACACTTTAGCTGTCTGACTACAGGTAATGGAAACTTGTCCCAGTTTTTCACAAGAGAGGATTTTGATCATACAGTTGAAACTTGTAATGAACGTGAACCGCTACCTGGTTCAGGTAAGATGCAGTAGAAAACTAAAGGCTACAGTCTTATTTACAGTATATGCTATATTCACTTGGTTTTCTGATTAAGCTTCATTAACTTCTGCCAGCATTTGCTTTCTTGAACGGTATATTACTTGCTGTAAAAAAGCTCCATATCACAGTATTTTTAACACCCAGTTTCCGTTTCCAATCGTAGATTTTGCAACAAAAGGATTTAAGAGGGGTTTCTGAGATATGAAACTAACTGAATATAACTGAGTTAATCGAATTTCAACTCTTGGTTGGTAATTTATGAGTTTCCTTAGATTTGGGAGTAAATGATCAAAATTTTCGAAAAAAATCCACTAGAATGCTCACTGTTACACTTGTTTGCAAGTGTCATGATAATAATCTAATTGCAAATTTATCAATTATAGTTTGTTCACATGTTTCAGGGGAAGGGCACTCTCGTAAGTTTGCAAGTTCGCCCTCTGCTGTGGGAGATAAACTCACGATAACTGGGATAAGTAATTCGCCAAAACCGAGCCTAGAAGCCCCTGTTTTGAGTGGAGGCATACGTGAGGACTTGTCTGAAAACGAGATGAATTGTGAGGAGAAATTTGGTCAGAGCCCATGTTCGAGGGATGTTCTTGAAAAGTCAAATAAAAGGGCGAGAAGTGCGCGCATGGGTCACAAGAAAAGTAATGAACCGGTCGACACTCAATTTTCTCTTTGGATAGGTAATGGCTCGAGTAGCGACGAGGATTCTACCGGTTCGGATGATTCGTGCTCAGATTCCAGGATAGATGAACTTGTTGCAAGTCTTAGGCATGCAAACTCTACAGAAAACTGAAATGCAACATGAGCTATTTATGGACAGATCTATTTGTTCTTTCGAATGCTCAGTTTTGTCCAAGAATCCCAGCTTTACATGAGAATTTTTTGAACAATTTAAGTGCATTTCAGCAGAAGCTCTTGAGATTGCAACTTGCAACCACTGTTTGGCTTTACATTTTACAAGAACAGTACAGAAGTGAGACCAACAAACCCATAATCAGTAAAATAAAAATATAATAATAGAATAAAAAAAAACTCTTACATTCTATACTTACTATCATTATTCAATATTTTTCTGTTAATTCAACCAAGCGCGCGATATTTTTCTATTAATTCAACCAAACACGCGCGCACACACATACTCAAAACCCGAATAACGGGCTAACCTGAGTCCTCGTCTGTCGTGCACTCGTCCCTCAAAGACGCCAGTGAATCACCAGTCAACCGGCTCCTGTACTGCTGCACCACCAGAACCGAAGCGCTCGTCTTCAACTCAGGCGAAATCAGCAAATTTCCAGCAGGCCCCAGCTCCGGGCACTCCCCATTCTTATCCAAACCCGCTGCCACCTCACCCTCCGGCATCCTCCCGACCACAAACAAGTTACAACGAACATTATCCCGAATCACATCGACCACACCCGGATTATTATCCCCCACCACCACAACAACCTCCTCGTACCCCACCGACCCATCTTCCGACACCCTAACCTTAAAATCCGTGAGAAAATCCTCATCCTCCGAGCCGCCGCCGCTGCTTTCGGGCCGGCCCACAAAACGTACAACATTAAGACGAATGCCCGTGTGCTCGGCCATAAGTGCCCCATACGAAAGCGCTTCCCTATCATCGGGCCCTCCAAAGAATAAAGCCGTAACCGTGTAGTCAACATTGCTAGCCGAGACGTGAGCCGAGCCTCCTAGCCCTCGGTCGACAAGTATCCCGACCGAGCACGGTGCCTGCTCGAGAACCTTCCGGTTCACGAGCCTCTGGTCAGCTCGGGTCGTTTCAAAGCGCCCGTCGAGCCCCTGGTGCTTGTGAAATGGAAGGATAATGATTGCGACTCGTTTTCGGTCGGCTCCCGAGCATATATCCTCGTGCATGCTCGACATAGGCGAGATGGCAGTAGTGGGACGAACCGTAACGTGGCTGAGATGCTGGAAAGCTTCAAATGCCACCACGACTTGGTTCGAGTCCGGATTATTATTATTATTCCAGAAGGGAAGCCCGTTTTTTCGGGCCTTGTGGACCATTAATATGGCGGAAGATCTCTCCGAGAGCTCCATCAAGTGCATGGCGTATACGCGGAGCCCGCCTTTCTTCCCTGTCCCACGTGAGGCCTCCATGAGGTTTATCAAGCTTGGGATGTTTCTCGTGCTGTGGAAACACGTCAGCATTCGGAGCTGAGTGTTCGGGTCTTTTCTCTGGATGGTCCGGTGCTTGTACTCTCGTTTCGCCATTGCGGCCGGTTTGTACACGGCCATCACCGTAGGAGTTGTAATGAACGTCGTGAAGAGAGCCATTAGAACCATGATGGCGAAAGTTTGATCATTCAAAACCTAAAGAAAAAGAAAACAAGCGAGAATTAAAGCAACGAAATGCATAATTTTAAATAAATATATGGAAAAAATTTACGAATTAGTCGAATATACCCCTCGGTCTTTCCCGATGTTGAGGACGATGAGCTCGACGAGACCTTTCGTGTTCATCAAGAAACCTAACGTCAAGGCCTCGACAAACGGGATACCGCTGAAAAGAGAGACCAAAACAGTACCGACAATCTTGCCGAAACACGCAGTGAACACGACGAGTACGAATAGGCCCCACGACTGGGCCCCCTCGATAGTGGCCACGTTCGTCTTCAGCCCGCTTGACACAAAGTACAGAGGTAGAAAAAGGCCCGATACGAGATCCTCCACTTTCTCCACGAGGGCCCCGGCAAAAGCCCCCCCTTCCTTCGGGACAAGTACCCCAAGCACGAATGCCCCGAAAAGCGCGTGTATCCCAATCGTGTCGGTCAAAAATCCCGCGGCCAAAACGGCCGCTAAAGTCAAACACACGTAAATCTCGTCCACAGGCTCGCCCTGCGGGCACCTCCGCGCGACCCACCGGAAAACGGGGGGGCCCACAAAGGTAAACACGGTTAAAAAACCGAGCCCGGAGAGGAAAACCCAAAGGGAGACGATTGGGCTCCGGCCCGAGCCAGAGCCCGAAAGGGCCACGGCGAGCGCGAGGAGAATCCAGGCCGCCACGTCATTCACGGCAGCTGCTGACATGGCCATGCGGCCCACGTCAGTTGTTAGGAGCTTCAGCTCGGCTAGAATGCGGGCCAGGACAGGGAAGGCCGTGATGGAGAGGGCCACACCCATGAAGATGAGAAACGGGCCTTGGGCCACGCCTTGGGATACGGTGGCCCGGAGTATGAAGGAAGTCCCGATTCCTAAGGCGAACGGTAGGCTGATTCCAGCGAGGGCGATGGCTACGGCCTTTTTACCCGTGCGGCGGAGGGATTTCGGGTCGAGCTCAAGCCCGACGAGGAAGAGGAAGAAGAGGAGCCCGAGGTTGGCTAGAGTGTCCAAAACGGTGAGGCTTCTTGGAGGGAAAATGGCATGGAGGTATTTCTTGTTGCGGCCGAGGGCTGAAGGGCCGAGTAGAATTCCACCCTGGGGAAAAAGTGTGTGTCATATAACATGAAAAAACAATCTACACATCAATGTTCAAAAAATTCACAGTGGACACCAATAAAGACTTTTCAGCTAATGCTGCAAAAAGTAAACAAAACAGTCGTCAAGACCATCAGACAATCACCAAATCAATAAACAACAAATCAAACAAAGCCAAAAAGAATAAAAGGAAAAAAGAAAGAAAAACACATCTACAATGCAATTGGGGTATGCTGTGCTCGACATAAATCGTTATTGAACTGACAAAAGAAAGAAAGAAAACTCACGATAATCTCTGCAATGACCCGCGGCTGCCTTAATGGCCTGAGAAGATAGGCCAGCAGCCGAGTTAGAACGACTACTAAGCATATCTGTATGATCAAAAGAGGAAGCGCAAAATCGAGAGGATCGTCCCCTTGGAACACCCCATTTGAGGTGGCTTTCATAGGTGCTGGGCATTTTACTGTTGCATTTGAAGCCATTTTGTAAGCTACTCCAGAAGAAAGAAGAAGCAGCTTGTCTCAATTTGATACCTATAAGTTCCAAATTCTCAGTATAGCTTAAAATGGGATTAAGTATATAATATATTGTCAGTAAAGAGATGATTCATTGATTAAGAACGTTGGTCGATCGATAAGCGATAACATTGTTTAGTCACTTATTTTCAAACTACAGAAACTAAACAGCAAGCAAGAAATAATCTTTTTAAGGAAGAAAGAATATTAAAAGGGTCTGCAAGACAACAAGATGGGATCTTTTTTGACTTTCATAATTTATCATCAACTTAATAAATGAGCCACATCTATTCACTTTAGCCGAGGAGGCTATGCAAAGTCAAGAAAAGCAAGATTGATTACATTACTTCACAAATCAAACCAAACCTTAAAGCAAAAGAACATGAAAATGAACATCACACAACTGTTTAAGATTGACAAAAGGGAAAAACACAGAGACAGAAAATAAGAGATATGAGAATTCATATGTAAAACTATAAAACAGTGTTCTTAGATTGATCTAACAATCATTTGCCAGCTATCATTCTCCAATGGATTTGTTCAGAATTATAAACAAATTTGATATTTTTTTATTTTTTTTCAAAATAAAATCTTAGGGACCCCATAGTTGACCCATCACCATTAAATAATTCAAAATCACAAATAGCTTCAAATGCAACTTGTCTTTTTCTTCCTTTATTAAATCCCAGCTCATAAACCTGCCATGGCCGGCCTCTACGTGCGTGCCGCATACACACCGCCACCGCTTTGCAGTTTCAACACATAAATCATTAAAAAAAGGGTTTATCATATCACACCAAATGCCCCAATTTCAGCACATGAACATCAAATAGACTGTTGTAGCACAAAGGCTTTTAGTGCCCTTTTTACTGACCATAAAAAATCAGAGAGTAAAATGACCGAAAATAAAATCAAGATTGAATCTTTATACTGATTCATCCAGACCCTTTTGAATCTAAGCCTTTTTGTGAAGGACTTTGAGTCTCACACGGCATGTGTGTGTGTGTGTGTGTGTTTTTGTACGTGGGCTGTGTGTGTATTCGGTCAAGATTTCTATTTTCTTTCTCTAATTGCACAATGTGTAGAGAGAGAGAGAGAGAGAGAGACCTGAGTTCTTTAAATTTGCAGCAGTTCTTGTTAAGATGATCTATGCCAATCAACAGCTCGACGTTTGTTGCTTTTTGTTTATTTTTTTTTGGCAAAACAAAAACCTGTTAAAAAGAAGAGAAAAAAAAAAGGAAAAAAAATGGTTTATATCTGATGATATACTACACAACGAAACGTGGATGAAAGAGAGATTGTTGTTCCAGGGAGTGAGGGAGAAGAAGACAAAGCTGGATTTTAACAAGGTCGACGACTTTATATAGAGCCATGAAAATTTATTTGACGATAATGCCCTTCGATCGCTTTTTTCCTTTTCTTTTATATGGGTTAGGATATAGATTATTTTCGATTTTGGGAATCACTACAATACCACTGACGGAATGGTTCCGTCAGTGTTTGTTACCGCAGATTATCTACACAACGTAATTTACATCTATATCCAATGGCGATAAACACAGACAGAATCACTCCGTAACGAAACTTTAGCATTTTCTTCCGATTTTACCCGGCCAAATAATTTACGATAATTAACGATAATGCCCTCCAATATGTATTCTTGTTATAGTTCAATTCCAACAACAAATACATTTTTTTCTATAATAGAAACGCTCTTAACCTTATATGTAAAATATTAAGATCTATTTATAATAATTCTGTCACCTTTTGGATTCTTAACTAAAATGAGCTTTTCCCAAAATCCCAAAACATATCCCTATAATAAACCAAACATATGTCAATGATGTAACAATTTTTGGTCTAATAATTGCTAAAGATAATCACAACCTTTTATTTTTTCAAATATAACCAAACATTTTCAATTAGACAAATGTATACTCAATTTTGCTACCATCATAGAAGTTTTAAATTTAATAATGTTTTCATATTTTGAAATTAGAATCAAGAAACTAGGTTATATGCAACAAAATTATAATTTTGTGGCTCTTATAAATCCAAAATAAATTAAAGGAGCCATGCAAATTGATTTGTTAAAGTCAATTCCACAAGTACCCAAGAGCGCTTGGATAAGATGGCTTGAGTCTCTCCAGCTTAACCAGTGGTCTCGTGTTCGAGCCCTGGAAATGCAGCAGTATTAAAACTCTTGAGGGAGAGCTTTGCCGCTCTTGTAGTCCTACCCGGCTCGATTCTGCATTAGTCGATTCCTCTGTGGATCCGAAAACCAGAAGGTCCTGTACAAAAAAAAACAAAAAAAAGTCAATTCCACAAGTTAATGAGTGACTCGTGAAAAGGATAAAAAAGGGAGTCCAAAAAAGGCAAAAAGTGCACTAAAAAGATTTTAGTACCGCAGAGTTTTTCATATATCCCATGTGATTATGTGAACTAACTTCGTGCTTGTGAGGTCAAAAGTGGCCTTTTTATTATTATTATTATTATTATTATTATTATTATTATTATTATTATTATTATTATTATTATTATTATTATTATTATTTTCAATCCTTGCAACTCGCTCCAAAAAATGCCTCATTTTCTAATTTTAGTCCAACTTATCGATTATTAAATCTCTTATATTATTAATAAAAATAAATAAAAATTCAACACGTAAGTATTATTCAAACGATGAAGAGACTACCAGAAGCGGGGTGATGTGTACGAGTATAAGCTCATGATACTCGAGTTCTTGATTTTTTTCGTCGAGACTATAATTGGAAGCACATAATTCAAAAATAGAAAAAAAAAAAATATTTATCTAGATCCATTTTTTTCACCCCAATCTTATCAATGAATTAAATAAAAAAAATTACTACTGCACATTTCGAACAAAACTATTAATCCACTTAAATAATTTCAATTATTCATCACTCACATTCATTATTAAGCTATTTTTCTAATTATATCAATTTTACTAGTACATTTGATTTTGATCTCATATATCTCGCGAAAGGAGGTGTATAAATCTTTGAGAAAATAACTCCCCTTACTCATCATATACAAAATATTATTAAATCTCCGACATCCCTAACTTAGATTCACAAGTACAAAATTTAATTAACTAAAGCAAGTGTGTAGCAAACTTTTCTCTCCCCCATATCTTTTCATCCAAACCGTAAAAATCTCATCTTGTATATTTGGCCCATTGACCGCTTGTCGCAAGACAGTCAAATTGTAAAATTTATTTTTCCTTACAACTTCTACCAACTGGTAGTAGTAGTGAGTAAGGGTCGAACCCACAGGGAGTGTAGAATTTAATTGCTATTATTTTCTTTAATTGAAAGTACGGACACACAAATAAAAAGGGGGGATTTTGTATGAATTAATTAACCACTAAAATTGCGAAATGACAGAATGAGATAAAATGCAGCAAATAATAATGATTTATCAAATGAATGGGGAAGCTTCTAATCCACGGTTCCGTCTACACCCTCGATTGACTCGTCTAATCAATTTTAATGTCAAATCTCGCTATCTCATGGAATTACTAGCCCTAGGCAACGACACGGTCTGTTACCCGAATTTTTCCTTAAGTTTAATTTAACCGTGAGACGCTCAGCGATTAAACCTGACTTCTTGTACAGTCTAGAAGACGCTTCTTAGATTTAATACAATCAGTCGCTTTACGATCTAGAAAAATAGGCTAGACTAATTAGTGAACTCAACCGCGTTCGCTCACTTAATTAGGTCGTGTTACCCCCGGTAGTTACCATCTTCCGGTTACCTCTTAGGAATTAAACACAACAACAATTACGGATTGAAGGTCTAATTCAGATGTAGATATGCAACGCCTAATCTAGGTGATCAAACTAAACAAGACTAAACACATCATGGTAAATTATTCAAAGTAACACAAACAATTCCAAAAGAGATATTGAAATTATCAACTATGGAAATTAATCAAACATTGTCAATCATAGGGTTCGACTTCCCCGGGACTAGAAATAAAAGACTACTCACTAAGCATAATATTCGAAAACATGTTCATGAAATTAATTACACAAGAAAGAAAAGAAAGAAAAGAATATTTTTCTTCTCTGTTGCTTTGTTCTCGATCCCCTGCCCCTTCTTCTCTGTTCGATCCTCTGTTAGGTTTCCCGCAGTCCAAAGATGAGTCCTAGTCAAGCCAAAATCTCTTCCTTCTATTTTTAAAGCCACGTCCAGGTCCTCTCTTTTCTTTTAAATCAAAATAAATCTCCCAGCATAAATAAAACTCTTCCCTCTATTTGCCACGTGATTCATTTTAATAAGTGTCCCAAAGCTTATTAAATCTTTCAGTCAATCAAGGCCCACTTCAAAGTCAACACTCGTGATTGCGTGGATATTCCTAATGCAGTACAGGGTCTGCTGCTCGGGTACGGGGCCACCCCGTACTTTCCTGTTCAGCATTATTTCCATTCGTATTCTTGCCTCCAAAACCATTATGCACTAGATAATCTCCAAAAACGCTGAAAACACTAACAAACTGATCAAGGTACGATAATCATACACAAAATCAAATAAGCCGAAAAATGAACAAGTGCGAAGAATTAATCGTGCAAAATCACAACATTAGACGGTTAATGCAATCACATTTTTCAACTAATCACTTA